TTTTTTTAGTTTTTGTACCGGGGATCAAACTCAGGACCTTGCGCTTGCCAGGCCGGTGTGGCGCCACTGAGCGGCAATTCTGGCCCTGTTTTGATTTGCTTTTTGAGACAGGGTCTCACTCTGTAATTCAGACTGGTCTGGTCTTGAACTCACTGTGTAGCCCAGGCTGGCCTCGAAATCAGGCGACCCTCCTGTCTCATCCTCCTGAACTCTGGGATTACAGGTGTACACCACCACACCCAGCAAGGAAATTTAAATATCCTCCTGTTTTTTCTGGTGAAGGACTTGGGATTCAATATCACATGGAGACTTTATGTGAAAACTAAAACCCAAAATTCCTAGCAGCCTTTTCACCTCAGTAGTTTCTCTTAGATGTTGCTTAAGCGCAGCTTTATTATTGTTTTATTTTGGTACCAAGGATCGAACTCGGGTCCTTGCGTTTGCAAGGCAGGTGGTGGCGCCACTGAGCTAAATCCCCACCTGCACAGCATTTAGTTTTAAAAGTGGTAGAGTCAATCAGATCTGATAAAGGGAAATTTCTGAAGGAATCACTGGTTAAATCATGTTTTTACTCTCTTGGAATGTTTAACTGCTATCAGTGATCTGAGTGCTAATGTTCAAGGATCTCTGTAGCTTCAAAACCACAAACCCATTAATTGTGCTACCACAAGCACTCAGCAGCGTTGCCTAGCTGAGCGTCAGTCAGGACCAAAATCTCTGTGTTCCCTGGGTTCCAGTTCCAGAGGTAAGAGTTTCAGAGTCTTGGAGCTAGAAAGGACCTAAGAGATCATTCTTAGACTGAACATTGGATTAGATGGAAATGGCCTTTCAAAGCATAAGGTTGCATCAAAATATACGAAGAACTTTTAGAAAAAGAGGAAAAGAATAGGGCAAAACTTAAGAAAGAAACCTTAAACTGGGCATGGTGTCTCATGCCTATAATCCCATTTGGAGGCTGAGGCAGGAGGATCACCACAAGTCCCAAGCCAACCTGGACTACACAGCAAGACCTTGTCTCAAAAAACTTAAAAGGGCCAAGGATTTAGCTCAGTGGTTCTGGCATCTGCCTCACAAGCACAAGGGCTTGAGTTTAATCCCTGGTACCAAAAAAATAAATAAAAACTTAAAAGGGCTAAGGATTTAGTTCAGTGGTGCTGCCGCCTGCCTCGAAAGCTCAAAGGACCCAAGTTCAATCCCCAGTACCAAAAAAAAAAAGAAAAAGAAAAAATTTTTGAGTAATTAGCTGGGTTGACTAAGAGCACTCCCTACATACAGAAACTTGCACCCAAAAGAAGGTGTAACTGTGATGCTTCTGAAGCCCTGTTAAAAGCTGTTTTCCAGAACAGAAAACATATATGCTTAAAAGTAGAAATTGTGCAGGTCACATTCTATTAGGACAATGTAATAAGCTTGATATTAACAACAAAAGGCTCCCCTCCCCCAAAAATGAAAATACTACCAGAAGTGGTTAAACTGCTGTTAAACTGTTTCTATTTCTAACCCTTATATTAAAGATATTAACATTACATCAAATTGTAGGGGATTTAATCAAAGTCTTATCAAAAATTCATAGCCTGTGGGGGTGGGGATTTAGCTCAATGGTTCCATTGCCTGCGTCAAAAGGGCAAGGTCCTGAGTTCAATCCCAAGTACCAAAAAAAATTTTTTTCATAGCCTTACAGAATTTTGAAAATTAGGACCCAACTCAGAAAACTGGAAAGATAAACCACAAGAGTGTAGAACAAGGGATTAATAAGGATTAAAGTAGACACATTACTAATGAATTTACACTCTAAAAATGGACTGAAAACAGGGACTGAGGATGTGACACAGTGGTAGGGCACAGGGCAAGGCCTTCACACCAACAAAAAGAAAATTTAATATTCAAGCTTAAGCCAAATAGTTGTGAAAGTCTAAGAAAAATGGATGCTCTTTTAGGGAAATGTAAATCACCAAATTGAAGCACAAAGAATTTGGGAAACTAGTGCAAATCAGCTAGAAAAAACTGAAAAAGCTGTCAAAGATAAACTATTCACCCCATCTACTTCCCATATTCTTGTGAATTTAAATTTGAGTTGCTCTAAGGCAGACATTTATATCTCATTAATGAGCTCTGTTGTCTAAGATTCCATATGAAGTCAGGACAAAGTTTGGATGTGATTTCTGCTCTTGTTAAACAATTTATTAAACTGTTATGGAGCCAGGCATGGTGGCACATGTCTATAAAGCCAGCACTTGGGAGGCTGAGGCAGAAGGATCACTGCGAGTTCCAGGCCAGCCTGAGCTACATAGTGAAACCCTGTTTCAAAAAAAAAAAAAAAAAAAAAAAGTTTTTTATAAAGAAATAGTAGTAGACACATCTATCTTCAAGAAGTTTTCAGTTAATAGGAAATATATATTTTTATAATACAGTAGTTTTTTGGGGGGAGGGGGACCAGGGATCAAACTCCTGTCCTGGTGCCTATGAGGCAGGCAGTGGCACCACTGAGCTAAATCCCAGCCCTCGTAATACAGTAGTATTGAAGAATAGGAAGAAAACACTACACACAGGGGAAGCTCACTTGAAAGTTCTAAATTGAAAGAAGTAATTGTTTTAGTTTTGTGTTTTGTTGTTTTGCAATTCTGGGTATCATACCCAGGGCCTCACACATTTTAGGTCAGCACTGTACCACTGAGGGGCATCCTCTCCTTTTAATATTCTTTCCAAATGGAATCATCAGCAGGAAAGAGATCCATAGGTCTAGAGACAATGCTGGCTGGTTTGAGAGAACTTTGCTGACATCCCCTCTAAAGAATGAGGTTAGCCAGGTGTGGTGGCCACCTGTAATCCCAGCACACTGGAAGTGGCTCAGACAGGAATATCACTGCAAGTTCAAGGCCAGCCTTGGCCACAAAGCAAGACCCTCTTCTTTTTGTACCTGGGGTCAAGCTGCGGACCTTGTGCTTCTGAGGCAGGTGTGGTACCACTGAGCTAAATCCCTGGCTCCCAGCAAGACCCTCTTAAAAAAAAAAAGAGAGAGAGAGAGAGAGGTTAATAAAGCAGGCCCAGGGGGAGAAAGGAGAGTGGTTGTTTTGATTCTTGGCATTTTGTTGTTTTGTAAACAGATTCTGCAACTCTGATCATAGCTAAATTGGAAAAATGGATTATTTAGCTAGTTTTCTTTCACAGGTGGACTATAATCTTTCCTTAGGAGATATCCTGTATCTTACACTTGATGGCACAGTCAGTGCCTAGAACCAAAACACTATGCCAAGAAACGGATTTGTTGTGTTGTGATGAGAATGATTTCTTTTTACCTTGCCCACACCTGAAAGTACGCCAAATTATGTAACAAGCTTATTTTAATTTTTCCCAGCTCAAGAGTCAAGATGTCTCAGACTTAACAGCAGGTGAAAGGGAAGACTCATCATTACTCACTCCTGCAGCCAAAAAACTGAAAATAGATACCAAAGAAAAGAAAGAGAAAAAGCAGAAAGTGGATGAAGATGAGATTCAGAAGATGCAGTAAGTCAGTTTCCCTATGTGAAGGCTCTAACTTGACACACAAATTTGATATTTTTCTCAGCCTTTACACTTTTTTTTTCTTTTTGAAACCCAAAAGAGATCTTTTGCTGGATATAGTATTTGTGCATATACCTTTTCAGCTTTTTTGAAATTTGACGTGTAATGTCAAATTGCATATTTCCATGTCAGTAGATATGCTGATAAGTCCTTTTTAATGGTACACCTTAACCAATCCCTGTAGCTACTCTGGTTAACTTTTTTTTTTTTTGAGACAGAGTATCACTATATAGTTGAGACTGACCTGGAACTCACTGTGTAGCTCAGGCTGGTCTGGAACTCACAGCGATCCTCCTGCCTCAGCCTCCTGAGTGCTGAGATTACAGGCATGTGCCACCATATCTGGATTTTTTTTTTCTTTTGACAACACTGTGTTGTATATGAGCATATCTTTGTATACTTGCCTATTACACTGTTAAGATAAACTCCTAAAAGTATAATTGATAGTTTAGACAGTATAAAAAAGCCAAGCATGAGGCCAGAGACTTAGCCCAGTGGTTCTGCCACCTACATCGCAAGCGCAAGGTCCTGAGTTCGATCCCTGGTACGCAAAAAAAAAAAAAAAAAGGCCAGGCTGGTGGTGCACACCTGTAATCCCAGCACTCTGGGAGACTGAGACAGGAGGATTACATGTCTGAGCACAGCCTGTGCAATTTAGTGACTTAGCAAAAAGTACAAAAAGTTTTTGTACTTATGTCCAAATATTTGAAAAATGTGTTTTGTTTTGCTGGGTTTTAGTCTTGGTTGTTTTTTTGTTTTTTGTTTTTTGTTTTTTTTTTTTTTGGTTATACTGGGCATTGAACCTAGGGCCTTCACACTGACCCCAGCATGGTGTTGTTTTTTGACAATGTCTTGCTGAATTCCAAAGCTGGATTCTAACCTGCCATCCTCCTGCCTCGGCCTCCCAGACTGCTGGGATTACAGGTGTGCATCACATACCAGCTCAGATTAACCTTTTAATTTCCTAAATTAATATTTAAGTTTTTTTTTCTATTTATTGGCCATTGATATTTTTACAAATACCCTGCTCATGTCCTATGTTCATTTCCTACAGTTGATTTTTGCCATCTTTTTATTTATTCAAAGGAATTAATTATATATTACAAGTATTATTTTATGTTTATTTTACAAATATTCCCCCCTGATCTGTTAATGTTGAAAACTACTGCTTTGGATATAAATTTATATATTGTTTTTATCATTGATGTGAAATGCAGTAAGGTAGCTAGGGGGAGGAGCCTAATGCTGAAGCCACAGTCTACAGTGTGACACTGTGGCCAACTGTTTAGCTTTTGTGCTTAATGAAAAAAGGAATTGTGCTTTCTCAAGTTCCTTAGCAGCAGCAGTGGCACCTCCATCCCTCAGAGGCACTATACCCGATGCCACTGACTCCCTGAGATTCCATTTTGTAATTCTCTGAGACATGTATCGACCTGGTGTCTTCAGCTTTCATTCTTACTAGCTAACTGCCTGAATCCTTGTCTAGAATCCTGGTTTCCTCTTTTTCGGAGGAGCAGCTGAACCGCTATGAGATGTATCGCCGGTCAGCTTTCCCTAAGGCAGCCATTAAAAGGGTAAGGATGAGCTACCTTACTTCGCTGACCTATGTCACAGCTAGTACAGGCTGCTGTCATCACCACGTCTCTGTCTCTTCAGCTGATCCAGTCCATCACCGGAACCTCTGTGTCACAGAATGTCGTCATTGCCATGTCTGGTATTTCCAAGGTTTTCGTCGGAGAGGTGGTAGAAGAAGGTGAGTAATGTTGGTTCCTGTGATGGTCTTATTTTCATGACTATCTATGCAAGGAACTTACTAAAGTGCCTGGCCTGTGGGAGTTTCCATTTGCACTAGGGGAGCCTTGTATCAGGAGAGCATTGGCTACTATTTCTTAACAGTTTCAGTACTGATTGACAAGGAACTATCTGGGAAATCCCTCCCCTGTACCTCTGCTTAGTCCAGGGTACAGGAAGCAGATCTTGTGTTTCTCACTGCCAGACTTTGCCTGTTTCTGCTGACAAAGATACAAGAAAAGCCATCACCAGGGGTAACCTAGTGCAGTGTGGTGTATGATAGTTTGTCCCTGATATTGTCACCCCTGGGAACTGCCCCTCGGTCTGTTGACAGAAAGCCTGGCTGCTTCCCGTCCTAGCCTCTTCCTGATTTGCTTAAGCAGGAGATGTTTTACTATTACCTATGATGAAGCCCAAAATGGCATATTACTAATTTGATACATTTTACAGCACTGTCTTAAGAAGGAAAATGTTGCTGGGCATGGTGGCGCATACCTGTAATCCCAGCACTCGGGAGGCTGAGGCAGGAGGATCGCTTTGAGTTCGAGACTAGCCGGGGCTACACAGTGAGTTCCAGGTCAGTCTCAACTACATAGTGAGACCGTCTCAAAAAAAAAAAAAAAAAAAAAAAAAAAAAAGCAACTTTAAGAAGAGTGAATAAGAATTACAAGATGCAAAAGGGTTATGTGCTTAGTAAGCCCTTACATGACTTTTTCCTTTCCCTCTACATAGCACTGGACGTGTGTGAGAAATGGGGAGAGACGCCACCGCTGCAACCCAAACACATGAGGGAGGCTGTTCGGAGGCTAAAGTCAAAGGGGCAGATCCCCAACTCGAAGCACAAAAAAATCACCTTCTTCTAGAGCAAAGCCCTGAAAGGCCTGTGACCGACAGAAAGAATTCTGGTCCCCGGCTCCCTGTTCTGAGACTTTCTGCGCCAGTGCTTTGGTGTTGCAGGCCTCCAAGGATTCCATGATGGTTTTAATGCCACACCCAGAAGGCATGCAGCCTGTTTCACTCTTGCCCTGACTATATTTTGGGACCTTGTGGGCCATTCTGAGATACTCAGCTCTGTCTGGCTAGCTGAAGGAAGAGAGGGCAAGGACCTTCAGCAGCTTCTGGGCAGGGAACTGCTTCAGACAGACGGTCTTTCCAGGAGAACCTGCACACTGAAGCCTAAAGCACCAAGATTTGGATTGTTTCCTGCATCTGGTTTTAAGTAGATGAAACCACCAGAAACTTCTGACTTGTGGTACTCCATCATAAAGGATGCAGTGAGAACAGCAGTACGGGAACAACTTGTGCTTGCTAACATTTAAGATTCTTGTGTGGATTTTAGTGACTAATCATCAGACTTTTCCAACTTGTAATTGTTTTGTGTGTAGCTGGTTGGAATGGGGAGAATGCCATCATTCTTTTTTGGTGTCCAAATAAAACTAGCTTTGGCTTTTTTATAAAAATTTGTGAGCCCTTCCCATTTTTTACTAGAATCATCAAAATTTTAACTCACGAAAGACACCGGAAACATTTTAAAACCACTCTGTATTTCCAACTCCTTTAAATAAAGATATACCACACCGAGCGTAGTGGCACATGCCTGTAATCCCAGCACTTGGGAGGCTGAGGCAGGAGGATTGCTGTGAGTTCAAGACCAGCCTGGGCTACACAGTGAGTTCCAGGGCAGTCTCAACTACATAGTGAGACCCTGTCTCAAAGAACAAAAAAATAAAATAAAATAAAAAATAAGCAGATAAACCACAACCAATGCTGTTTAATAAATTTAATCTGTTTTTCAGATGGTTCACAGAACCAGTACACTCAGGGCTGGATTAGATATTGCAACAGTGAAATTTCCCAGTACTGTCCAGGGTTCCAGTTCATCACGTTCTCAGTGTTGTCCTCACACAGAGAGGAATGGAGTTACCTTGTACTGACAGTGGTTAGCAGTAATAAGGCTACTATATGCAATCGCACTCCCCCAGAAACCTGCTGTGCAGTGTCCCAGACGAGGGTTCTGAGGCTGTTCTCTTTCAAAGGTTTCCTTGAGCAGGTCAAGTAAATCTCCAAATCTGTTTAGCACCCTGAGTAGGGGGAACGTCTTAAGACTTATAAAGCTGGACAGACCTGACTTTTAGTATCTTACATTAAAACTCAAGGCTGTAAGTACTTAGCCAAAGGAAAAGACATTTCAGTGGGTCATTCCACAAAGAAATGCTAGAAGACAGCTAAATCTTGACCAGAAACTAATACACTGACAAAGAGATACTTTCTCAGCTCTAACAGGAATTTTAAACAGTTGTAGAAACTACACCTATTGCAAGTGAAGATACTAGATAACACTGAAAATAACAGGAGGGAGATCTGGCCACTTAGCGAGGCCTTACTGTTAAAGGTTATGCAAGACCGCTTCCCCCTTGTGCCATGGGGAACACAGCGACCATCCACACCTACCCAGAGATGAGTGGATGTTCCCGCCGTGCAAGTACCACACCAGGTTCTCTGTACCACAGGACACTGACAAGTTACGAGGCCAATAGCCTTCTCCGTTCTCAGTCACATGTCACTGGACCAGTGTGTGTAATACAGCTCGCTCGTTTTCAGTTTTGTGACTGTGATTTTGACTGTTAACGAGTTTAGAGGTTTCGGTGAATATTAAAGTGGAGCAGGTGGGACAATGGAATGGAAAGTCCCATAGGGCAGTCGGTGCGCGCACCCGCAGGACCTTCTCTCCACCACCCTCTGTCTCCCCCAAGAGGGAAACGGATGTAAATGGGCCAGATGGAAGCACCGAAGTGGGGTTTGTCAGGGGTGTTCAGCCCCTTGTTCCTTCCATACATAGGAACCATTTTTTCAGAATCATCCAGGAGCCAGCATAAAGGCTGAGGCCATGGCAAAAGGAGGGCCAGGCGAAAAGGTAAAAAGCAGCCTCGTGCGACTAGAACCCCCCGTCTTGCAGAAACGAGGTTAATTACTCCAGTGAGTTGAAAAGAACTGGGCGCTAGTCCATCCATGCCGAAGCATACCCCCAGCACACCCATGTGAACAGGAAACGTAAACAATCAGAGAATACACAGTTAGTTGTAAATGATGTGTCGTGTGCAGTGGCTGGAGTCAGGGGCAGAGGTGCTACCACTCCAGGCGCCGTTGGAGGTATGGTTATCTCTTGTGCAGTCTTGGCATCGCCTTCCTTTACCTTTATCCTGAAGACTCCTACCAGTTCACATCTCTTTTTTTGAACTGGGGATCGAATTCAGGACCTTGCGTTTGGAAGGCAGGTGGCTGAACCACTGAACTACATCCCCCGCCCATCTATTCATTATTAAAAAGTCTCGTCCCCGGGGATAGGAGTATGACAATATACAGGATGATTTTCACGAAAACCTTGCGGAATAATGAACCCTACATCCTACATTTTCTGATAGAGGATTTTAAGACACAAGAGCCAAAGCTGTGACATAAGGAAATTCCAAGGCTCCATTGGACACATGGCCAAGAACTCAACTCTCTCAGCCTAGAGCCCTGAGAGTGTGGCATTACAGTGGATCCTTCTACAGTACAGGGTCGGCCTTGGTACCTGCTGGTGTGTTTCTACCGTAGGCTTACGGTAAAGGTGAGACAAGCAAGGCTACTAGACATTTTCTTTGCCTGGAAAAATGCCAGAGGGATATGGTAAGTGAAGAAGGGAGGGAAGGGAAGAGAATCCAAATGTGATTTGTAGACAATTCAGTCTGAGATTAAACAATTCTACTTCCTGGCTCCTACATGGCTCTCCTCCACGCCCTCCCAAGAACATCAGCCATGTCCTACTTGAGAGGACTAGTGATCCTGATGTTGAACCCAGTTCAACATTCAGCCTGTGAAAGAAGCACTAAGGGCTACAGTCTGTGGAGGGACCAGTCACTCTGTTGCAGGCCACCAAGGATCCCCAGGCTGCAATTCCTTTTGGGAGGCCATCAGACAGGGGTTCCTCTTAAACCTTCTGCAGTCATGGACTGGTGAGGCTGACACCACTACTTGCACCAAAAGCTCTTTAGTTTCCAATCTGTTACAAGTGCTTTCTTTACCCAAGGTAGACAGGTAGAGCCCTAAAGCTAGCAGTATTTCAGGACCGACTCTTTGTTTTTTGTGGTTTTTCTTTTTTTTTTTTGGTACTGGGGATCAAACTCGTGACCTCGAGCTTGTAAAGCAGGCGGCAGCACCACTGAGTTACATCCCCAGCCCTTCCTTGCCCTTGACTAGACACAGGATTTAATACTCCCCACAGCTGTCATCTTTGAAGATGACTGAAGTTTGCATGTGAAAGACGTGCCCATGTCTGGAAGCACCTCCACTGCCTCCACTGCCTCTGCTGTTCTCTGGACACTTCCTCCCTTCTGCGTATAGTTGATAAATGAGGTCACTAGAAACGCACGGACAATTTGAGTTAAATGTACCTGTGGCCAGGCACAGTGGTGCATACTTGTAATCCCAGCTACCTGGGAGGCTGAGGGAGGAGGACCCAAGTTCGAGGTCAGCCTGGGAAACCTAGCAATACCCAGTCTCAAAAAATAAAAGAAAGGCTAGGGATGTGGCTCAGTGCAAAAGCCCTGGGTTCAATCCCTAATACCACAAGACAAACAAAGAACAAAAATCTGAAAGGCCTGGGGGTACAGCTCAATGGCAGAGCACTTGCTTGGCACGCACAAGGCTCTGGGTTTAATCCCCAGTACCACAAAACAAACATCTTAAAAGGCTGAGGGTACAGCTCTACGGTAAAGCACTTGCCTAGCATGTTCAAGGCCCTGGGTTCCATCCCCAGCACAGCAAAGTCTTCACCCGTGCTGGAGCACACGGTGCTGCCCACAGTACCCTTCCCAGCGATGCAGAGAGGGCAGCTCGGCCTGGGCCCTCTGCCCTCCCAGGGGCAGCATAGTTTCTTTCCTGAGTGCTAATAACAAATCTCACTGCCATGTCGGCTGACCGTTCTTCCACAAATACATTGCTGTACACACAGCGATACTGAGCGCCTACCATTTTTCTGAATATTCACGGCCTCGCTTGTGACCTTTTCTGTGGCTTCGTGTTTTTTTTAAATCTCTTCTCATCTACCTTCCATTGCCTAGAAGTAGAAACAGTTTATTTCACTGTAAAAGTTGACATTCAGGTCACCAGTAAAAACCCTACAGAAGGTTGAACTGAGTATCAAACCTTAAGAAATGTCCTCTGTTAACGGTTTTTCCAGAAAGAGGTTCCTATATTCCTAAGTCTCTAATTTGTTTCCCAAGAAGGACAAATTCCCACAGTAACTGCTGTTTTAAAATTTGCCTTAGTGAAGAAACCTGAGAAGAGTCCTTTAAGAGTCTGAATGAATTCTTGTTCCTTCAAGAATGCAAGTTTCTTTTAAAAAATGAGACTATACAGTTCAAGCATGATTCCCCATGAAAGAACCCATTTTACCTGTCCTTCAGGAGGTCGTGTATGATGAAACGACTTCTGGGACATCACCGACTCACTGCCCGCCATCTTACAAGTCAAGGTGAGCTGGCTGAGGAAGTCCTGTCCGACCAGCACAGCCCCAAGTGCACCACAAAGCAGCACGGACCAAGGCAGAGTTTTGGAGAATTAAGAAAGAAATGGGAGAAAAAGCACTTTTATGGGGCACGGGGGGCAAACCTAGATGGGTTGAAGGGGTTTTGTTTTGCCTTTGCTTTTTTCTTAAGTTAAAATTACATCATTTTAAAAAGCCACAGTATTAGTGGGGAGTGAGAGGCAACCAGTGAAGACTGAGACATTCAAGTGCAGGAACTCGTGTTCTGCTGCCAAGCCGCCGGGCACTGAGATGAGCACTGGCAGGAAGTCCCAGGCGGGGAGAGCGGAGGAGCAGGGACCCCAGGGAGGCCGAGGGAGCAACCTACCTCTCGGGCACAGCTATGGCAGGGGGGTTCAGAACCAAGGTCCCTGAAACCAGTCCCCTACCACATCATGCCTGCAACCTAGCTCAGAGCAAGTATTTCTTCTTTATTCTAATTCCGAATCAGTTATGTCCTAGAGAGGAAAGATGGCATGGCTGATTCGAAACCGCTGTTTACTTCCTGTCGCGGCATCACCATGATGAGATTCCAACCGAAAGGAGGCTTGACCCTGAGCAAGTGGATGGCAGCATCGGGAAGACGACACGAGCCTGGCTCCCGTCCTGAAGCAGGCAGAGGCCCCGTTACGTGTGCCTCTCAAGACCCCGCCCTTGCTAGGCGACCTCCTGTTCTAATCCATTAGCAAGGCTGGCCTGGCCCAGCCCAAGACCTCCCTGGGTCTGCTTCAGGAAGCCGCGACATGGAATCTTTGGTGGCTCTGTGGGTGGCTGCGGAGGTGAGGACTGTGACTTGTTCACACAGGCCGTGAAGGAAGCAAATATCTCTGCCACGAAACCAGGAGAAGTGGCCTTTGGAGCGGAGGAGATTCCACCAAGGGCTGTGTAAGGCCTGACGTGCTGCCTGAGCCACGCAAGAGCTGCCGCCCTTTCCTGGGGTGCGGCCATGCTCTGCCTTGTCCTCCACCTGAGTCAGAACAGCCAGCAGAAAGCGCACCCCGTTCCTCAGGCCTCCTCAGCAGACAGCGCCTCCCGTCCTGGCTGGTGCTGAGGCTGGTGACCTCTCTTCTCCTGGGCACAGACAGCTGAGCCACTGCTATCAGAGCTCAAAGAGGGGGTTATATTTCCTAATCTCCTGTAGAAGTTTTTCTTTTTCCTGCTTGGCATTGGCCAATGCTTGCTTCGTTTCTGTAAGTTCTTTTAGGAGGGCAGGCAGTTCTTGCACCTGAGGAACAAGGAGTTTACAGTTAATGAACATGGCAATGCCATCTTACAATGACGGCCAGCAGGAGAATGAGTAGAAGAATTCAAGCAGAAAAGTGCACAGGTTAGGTCAACGATCAGACGACTGGATCTCTCCCACGAGCCTAACTCCCTCAGCTGATCGGTCACCGGGACAGCACAGGGCAGCACCCACCACCTCAGCTCCGGCTCACACCTTAAGCTCATCCAGAAGCTGCCGCCAGAGGACAAGAGCCCACACCACCGAGGTGCACACAACACAAGCGACCCTTTCAGCCCTCTGGCTGTTACCCGCGTCCATAGTCACAGCCCCTAGGTTTATGGGATGTCACAATGCAGCTCAGTCCTCACCTGCTCTCCAGAAACCTCTCCGGCAGGTGCCAGAAACACCTGTCCTTTAGGGGGCTGCCTCTTCTCACTTCTAGGCACTCCCACGGACGGTCTGTCTTGAGCAGCAGCTGGAGGAAAAGAGCAAAGCGCCGAGTGACAAACTGCTGCCTACAGCCACACAGCTCCCAGATGTCACCTACTCGCTCACAGGAGGAAAAAGGCAAAGAGGCCGAGGGCCGCCAAGGCCAACTCACCGCTGATGTGGAAGACGCCATCATCACTGCGCTTCAGCACAACGTGTTCCATGGCCAGAGTGACGGGGACAGGGCCTGGGGACGTTGGGTAGATGGGCGGGATGTCATCCTGCAGGAAACAGGAAAACCGTGTCAAGCCCCCGGCCGGCTCAGGGCCCTCTAGGTGACGACCAGGCTTCTACCATCCAGCTGGAAGCAGTTTATGCCATTGGTTCCCACACAATCTTGCATTCTAGAGATGGCAAAACTGAAGACCAGGAAATGCAGGCCCAGGACAGGGTTAGAGACATGGTCTTGCTCCTACACACACTTTGTATGGCCCTGCCACACGGGTGGGATGCTAACGTGCACGTCCTCACTTCCTCCTCGCTGCGCTGCACACTGGCGAGGGAGGAACTCCTTACTCGACAAAGTCCAGGGCAAAAACCGTAGATGCCGCTCACCTTTAGGGTGACACTGGAGTTCAGGAGCTCGATCTGCATGGGGACAACTACTGGGACTTCCTCATCCTCCAAGAAGGGGCCCAGGCCATTGAGCACCGAAGTGAGCAGCTCAAGGTCACAGCCACGAAGCATGAAATGCAGGAAACCATTCTGTGTGGCCAGAGGAGAATGAACAGCCGCGCCAGGCCCCACCTCAAAGCGAAGGCCCACGGCTGGCTGCATGTGGTCAGTCTGCACACTTGAGGGTTTTTGCAGGCTCGCACCTTTAAGAAGAAAGACAAGTAGTTAATGCAGGAAAAATTCTAAGCACTAATCATGGCTTCAATATTCCTAACAAACCTCTGCCAAACGCACTACACCATTCCCGTATTACAGATAAACAGTCACCAAGAATCACTTGCCCAAAGTCATACAGTCAGGAAGACCTTAAACCCAGGTGGTCTGACTGCGAAGTCTGTGAGCTCAGCTACTCTGCTATCGTGCCTCGCAGGGTGGAGAGGGGGACAAGCCACCAAAAGCTGGCTTGCTATGAATTTAGGCACTGGACTAACGGCCAGAGGAAAGCTCTTGAAGCACAGCACCCTCAACTCCACTAAATGTGAACGTCTCTCCCTTTCCTTAAGTCATGGTCTTCTCACTTCTCAGCGATGAAACCAAGCAGGATCTACGCTTCTCTCCCCGAAAGTCCACAAAGAACAACCTCAGGTTTAGCCAAGGACATGGAACGACTTGCATATCTAAGGAGCTGCAGATGGGTACATCATTTTGGGGAACGTTTGGCATTATCTAGTAGAGCCAAAGCTGTACCTACCCTAGTGAACTAGAAACATACCCTCAGGAGTATCACCCTGGAGAAACCCTTGGACCAGGAGACATGCACAAGGCTGTTCACAGCAACCCAAGGTGAAATAGCAAAAACACTGCCAACAATCCAATGTCTTTTCAGAATAGACTGAGGAAGTAGTTAGGGTACCAGCTACAGGGATGTTTGGGGTGTGATGGAAACAGTCTAAAACTGGGTTGTGCTGATCTTAGGTGATGAGAAGCTCACAGCGCACCCAGGCAGTGAAGATGTGGATGAGCCAGGTGAACACACAGCCCTGGGAGGCTCCTTGCAAGAAAGAGGTTTCACGAGAGTTCTTTCTCCTCTTACTGGCTGCTGCAGAAAAGGCCCAGGGGCTTGGCACTAGAGCAGCTGCCCACAGAGCACAGATGCCAGTGACTCTCTGGGCGCGCTAGGTAAATCCTGCCAGTACTCGGGAGCGGCCGCCATCCTTACCAGGGCACTGTCCATGCAGGAACTTCCAGAGCCCCACGGTGCCCAGCTGCTGCAGGGCCAGTTCCTCCGCTTGCAAGGCTACCGTCAGGTCCTCACCACGTACCTCAATCCCAAAAGTCACCTCGTCCACCTTCAGGACCAGAACTGACACCTGTCGGAGGGGATCTCTCAGCCCAGAGTCCCAGGCTTCCAGCCCACAGCCCGCCCTCCTCGGGGAGCAAAGCACAGCAGCTGACCGAGTGCAGGACGAGGTCCTCCCTGCTGGGCGAAGCTGAACTGGTGGCCTCTGGGGACACACGGCCACAGTTATCTGCAACAGGGGTCCCCTGAACACCAGCATCATCCAAGACAGTTGGAAGAGAACCTAGTGGAACCGATTCTAGACCAGATTCTACATGAGACAAATAAGAAAAGATGTCAAGTCAAAAAAGTTTGTTTAGCCGGGCGTGGTGGCACACACCTGTAATCCCAGCACTCGGGAGGCTGAGGCATGAGGATCACTGTGAGTTCGAGACCAGCCTGGGCTACAGAGTGAGTTCCAGGGCAGGCTCAACTACACAGTGAGACCCTGTCTCAAAAAAAAAAAAAAAAAAAGTTTGTTTATCCACCGCCTACCTGGCAAACACAAGGTCCCAAATTCAATCCCCAGTACCAAAAAATTAAACCCAATGTCTAATAATATTAATTGTAAAAGCAAAACAGAATGTTTAGAGCATTTATGAAAATTGCAAATTTGAAATCAACTAGATACTTGATAAACTTAAGAAATTATTGTTAATTTGTAAAAGATAATGGTATTGTGCCACATTTAATAAAATCTATACATGGACACAACCTAAACTTCCACTGACAGATGAATAAAATATGATACACCCATTCAACAGAATAATATTTAGCTTTTACTTTGCTGTTTTGGTTTTGTTCTGTTTTGAAACAAGGTCTTGCTATATATAGTTCAGACTGGCCTTGAACTCACACGTAGCTCAGGCCAGCCAGTGATCCTCCTGCCTCAGCCTCCCAGCTGCAATGAGGCTAGAATTACAGGCATGCACCACCATATTCAACAATATTTAGCTCTTAAAAGGAATGAAATCCTGACACATGCTACAACAAAGAGAATGCCGAGGATGTTACATTAAGTAGATTGCACTGGTTACAAAAGGACAGAATCATATAACTCCACTAACATGAGTTACTTAAACATCAAATTTATGTTTTGTTTTTTGTTTTGGTACCAGGGATCGAACTCAGGACCTTGCACTTGCAAGGCAGGCAGCGGCACCACTGAGCTAAATCCCGGGCTCCAACATCAAATTTATGGACAAGTTTCAGTCTTCAAGTGTCCTGGAGTCCAACGAAGGTGCTGAGTGCAACACAAGTGTGTTTAACTCCACCGAACAGGACACCTGAAAATGGTTGAAAAAGCAGATTTTATTTTACCACAATCTTCAAAAAGTTTTTAATTCTATATTTTATCAATGCATAACTAAAACTATTTATGATAAAATGATGTTGGAGATTTGCTTTATTTAAAATAACAGGCTGGGCCCGGGGATTTAGCTCAGCAGTTCAGTGGCCTGCCTCGCAAGCACAAGGACCTGAGTTCGATCCCCGGTACCACACACACAAAAAAAAAAATAAATAAAGTAACAGGCTGAAGGGAAGTAGGATTGTGTATGAAACAAGAATGGCCATGAGCTCTTAATGCTGAAGGCTGGGGATGTGTTCATAATTTGACTCCGTCCATTTTACACGTTTAAATGTCTCCAAAGTTAAAAATAATAATAACAGGGCCGGGGATTTAGCTCAGCGGTTTGGTGGCCTGCCTCGCAAGCGCAAGGACCCGAGTTCAATCCCCGGTGCCACCAAAAAAATAATAATAATATTAATAACAACAATAACAACAAACAAGGTGCACACCACCTAGCTTAAGAAACAGTACATCCTCTCCCAAAGCACAGTCGGTGTCACCTCACGCTTGTCAGAGGGACATTATCACAGAGATGGAGAGACTAAGTGTTGTCAAGGACATGGGAAAGCAGGGCCCCGGACACTGCTAGGGGTGGAAATCAGCACACACCTGAGATCTGGGATCAGAAAGTGGCAAAGCTATCTGAATCCCCATGTTCATCAGAGCACTGTTGACAATAGCCAAGTTAGGAAATCAATCGACCTACGCAAGAGCAAGGTCCTAAGTTCAATCTCTGGTACAAAAAGACAAAAATTAAGGGTTGGGTGCTTGGCTCTGTGGTTCCACCTACTGCTCTGCAAGTGCAAGATCCTGAGTTCCATCCCAGTACTGAGAGAGACAGAGAGAGAGAGAGAGAGACAGGAGACACCCAGACAACACTCATACCACTGATATCAAATACAGCACAAAACCAATCCTACTGACATAAACTTGTGGCATAAGACTAATAATTTTTCCTTTGGTTTTAATCTCTTTCTGTGACAGAGGTCAAGTATTAACCAATAACCTAGAAAATGTGGAGAAAAAGCCAGAGCCACAGATCTACATTTTTTATCATTTTTGTTTTGGTAAGAAAATGTCTAGCTTAGTAGCACGATGATGCAGGCCTACAACCCTAATACTCTGGGAGGCTGAGGCAGGAGGATCACAAGTTCAAGCCCAGCCTGTGCAACTCATGAGATCCTATCTCCAAAAAAACATTTTTTTTAAAAAAGGGGCTGGGAGTGTAGTTCAGTATAAAGGCCCTGGGTTTAATCTCCAGTACTTAAACAAAACAAAACTGTATCATCACACCTCAGCCCCGCTTGATCTTGCTAGTTTGAGTAGCAGCAGCAGAGAGAAGCCTGTCTGACTTCTACAGCTTTGCTCCCACATACCAGCGTCCAAGAGCATCACAAGGCTATCGCTGCCGTCACTGTCCACTGAAATCCGGTCTTCGGGGCCACTGCTATCCAACACGACACCATCAAATGACTGCTGAGACACTGTCCTCTTCATGGAGAAAAACCGGAGTCGGGCAGCTCCTCCACTTATTGGGGTCGCCACCCCCTCCTCTGTCCTGGCCAAGGGCTCCCTGTTTTTAAACATAACAACGAAAAGCACCGATGCGACTGGAAAGGGATATTCGCTCCCGGCCCTGGCCCCCACCCTCCCCCTCGGAGCGGATATGAACGTAAACTTGGTGCCACCAGTTACCTGTTATCAAAGGGGAAGCTATTTTCAAGCTCTGGCCTTTCTGATTTCTTATCCCAGCATTTTCAGCTGCGTGCTGTGTCGATCGCTCAATCAACACCAAATGGCAAGGCTGCCTGGGGTCACTGAGGCACAAAAGTCACGGGTACTCCCCAACCCTGGTGCAGGGTCAGCCTGAGCCCACCTGCAGCCCCAGCACAAGTCCTGACCACAGAGCTCCTGTACGCAGGCACCAGGCGGACGGTGGGGCAGCGCTGAGGATAAGGCAGGCCCTGTCCTCCAAGAACTCATAACCTATTAGGACACAGGAGACCGATTCCTGTGAAACGTTACACGGGAGTGAGTCTCACACCCCATGAAATTGGGACAATGGCACAAGCCAGAGGCCAGGCAACAGGACAGAGGGATGAGAAGGGGCTCGAGAATGGCTGTGTAAGCCAGGCATGGGGCACACACCTGTAACCTCAGTACTCAGGAGGCTGAGGCAGGAGGATAACACGTTCTATCTAGGTCAGCCTAGGCTAAACAGTGAGACTTAGTTTCAAAATAAAGTAAAGGGGCTAGGATACAGTTCAACATTCTCTGAGTTCAGTCCCCAGGGCTTGAAAGAAAAGGAAAAAGGAATGGTTTCGTGAAAGAGATGGCACTTGAGTTCTTGAAGGTCTATGAAAGAGAGAAAAGACATTCAACAGGAAAAAACAGCATAAATAAAGGCACAAAGCCAGAAACAAAATGAGACTCCTGACTCACTCAGCCCAGATGTGGCACAGGCCCGGTCGGAAGAACAGCACTAAGAAGCTCAAACCGGGCTGGGGCAGGGCTCAGCGGTGGAGCCCTCGCCCAGTTCCATCCCAGCAGTGTCACACACAAATCCAACTAGACCCAGGGCTGGGGTTACAAGGAGAGAGCCTGAGGTCTGGGAGGAGGGAAATGACAAGACCACGCCTGTGTTTTAGGAAGTCTGGCCTGGACTTTTCCGTGCAGATGTCAATGATTTACTACAAAAGCCCCAGGTGGGAATAAAGAGCAAAGAGCGACTGACGAGAGCTTCCCCCGAGCCGGGGGTGTGGGGGGATCAGCACCCACAGAGACCTTTCTAAGTGCAAAGCCTCAGCCCACCTCACACCCACTGACAGAGAACCCCACGGATAGGCCTCTGCAACCCGTGTTTTGTTTTATTCAGCACTGGGGATTGCGGGTGGGCAAGGTCTTGCTAAATTGCCAGGCTGGCCTCAAACTCAATCCATTTGTCGCAGCTGGGATTACACGCGTGTGCCGCCCCACGCCCATGTTTTCACAAGCAACCTGAGGCAGGAAGGACGCTCAGAACATAACAAGTGAGCGGGAACGGCAAAGGGCTGGCCTGCCCAGGAGTCGGAGACCGCAGTTACCAAGGGAAGAAAGGCCAGTCTGGGGAGGGACAAGAGGGACCGCGCGGAGCTGTGACTAGCAGGCAGCTGCAGATGAGAACACAGGCAGCAGGAGAGGGAAAAACAGCTCAGCAAAGCTCAAAGTCTGACAGACACATCAAACACCTTAACAAATGTTGATGGCATCTGACTCCGGCACTTCACTTCTAGGGTTATATTCTACAGAAAGATTGTAGATACGTACGATGCGCACAGCGTAACATTCACAAAAGTAAGGCCATTTAACAACGACAATGGATGGGGAAATTATAATGCATCCATTTGCTACAGGACAAGAAGGCAATTAAAAATCGGCTATTTGAACATCTAACGATGGGAAAATAATCAAATGAATAAAACAGTGCGCAATAGTACAGGAGTGATATAATCCTACTGTTGTAACAACCATATCTCTGGGCATTATATACGTGAATACAAGTGTTCACACAGACACAGATTTACAGATATAAAAAAGAACAAGGGGAAAAGTTGGAAAAGAGGCCAAGGACGCAGTTCAGTGATTAAGAGCTCACCTAACACTCACAAGACCTGGGTTCAATTCCCAGCACTGCCAAAAGACAAAAGAGCTGTCATGCCAGCACTCCGAAAGCCGAGGAAGGAGTATCCGTGGGAGTTCAAGGCCAGGCTGGGCTATACAACGAGTGCAAAGCCAGCCTGAACTGCATAGTGAGACGCTGTCTCAAAAAGAAAAAAAATTGGAAGAAAACTCAAATGTAAATAATAGTGGCTACCTCTCCTTTTTTTTGTTTTTTGGCAATCTTGTGCATTGGACCCAAGGCCTCGTACAGGCTAGGCAAGCACTAAATCAACAAGCAACATCCCCAGTTTTCTTTCGAAATTTTGAGACAGGGTCTCACTAAGTTGCCGAGGCTGCCTTCAAACTTTCAGGCCTTCCGCCTCAGTTTCCCAAATAGCCGAAATTACAGGCATAAGCTACTACACCTGGCTTCTTTCTTCATTCTTCTGATCTCCTACACTGTCGACAAAATGAGCACCAGTCACTCTTGTAAGTTAAAGAAAACCAAAGTGGTGATTCAGGTGATCCGACGATGGGCATCCTAGGGAATATTCACATTTTTAAAACAAAAGGAAAAAGACAGCAGCCCAGGACACAAAGAAGACTCCTTCAGGGAAGTGAGAGAGACTGGGCAAGGTTACAGCTGCTCTGAACGAACTGACCAGCAATGCCCAGGAAAAGGTGGGCTGAGAGAAGGCCATCCTCTTGGGCAGTTAGGAAATCATGTTTCAAGAGTTACAGCGCTCTGCAAGGCTGAGGCAGGAGGATCACAAGTTTGAGCCCAGCCCAGGCAATTCAGCAACTTAGTGAGATCTTGTCTCAAAATTAAAAATTAAAAAGAGGGCTGGGGATGTAGCAGCTCAATGTGAACGCCCTGGGTTCAATCCCTAGTACCATCAAAAATTAAATTAAATTAAAATAAAAAAGCTTTTATCACACGTCTTTCTTTGCTCCTCTCCACCTGTCCTCGCCCACCTTCCTTAACTGTCTTCACTCAGAAGAGGCAGCACATTCGGCAGCTAGGAGTCTGGCTTTCGCTCCCCGCCCCACGGCTCACGAGATGCGTGAGCCTGAGCGAGTCCCTTCCTCCCAAGCCTGGTCTCCCCAACTGAAACGTGGGCATGACGCCAGCCCGTCTTCCGGGGCAGGCGCAGGAATCGGGATCAACACTGTCCTTAGGACGCGTCCGGCACACGAAGCCCCGCTCTGGAATTAGTACGGCGCCCTTCTCCAAGCTTCCCTCACTCCTTCCTCTCTGGCTGTCTGTCCAGGCAGGGCCTAGACACAGGCATTGCGTACAGACCCTCTTCGTGTAATTCACTTAGAAAAGAACTCTGTCACTCTCTGAGTTACTTTCCTCATTGCTGAGACAAAAATACCCGACACCCGAAGTTATTTATCTGGCTCGCAGCTTGTAGGTTTCAGACCATAATCGGCTGGCTCCAAGGCCAAGTGGCATAGCACAGGGGCATCAAAGAGGAGACACAGCCACGGCAGGGAGGTAGGCAAGAGCACATTAGCTCTGTTTCTGTCCCCTATATTACAGGCTACCTGCTGTAGGGAGGGTAGAGCACTCACACCCTTAATCCTAGAGCAACCGTGCCAAGCCAATCAGTGCACGGACTTGGTGGTCACACCCCCGATCCCAGGACCACACTCTAGATCCAGTCACCTCTGACAAGTGCTCTGTGACTGCATGAGGCTTTGGGAGACACCTAGGCACAGCCGTAACAGTCCCTGATCTTACCATGGTCTGTAAACCACCAAGTGTCCCAGCAAAGACTTCCTTTAGTCTTCACTACCTTTCCTAAAGCCACATGAAAATCCCCACTGTTCCCCCTCCTGATTATGCATTTCTGTGTTTAATACACAGCCTATAACCATGGTGGTGAACCTATGGCATGTGGGCTAGAGTCAGCTGTTTGTTATCATTGAAAGCTCTAAAAGGTTTGCCATCACTGGCCTAGACCATTAAGAGCTCAAAAACCTGCCAGGCGGGGTGCCACACGCCTGTAATCCTAGCACTGGGGAGGCTGAGGCAGGAGGATCGCTGTGAGTTCGAGACCAGCCTGGGCTACATAGTGAGTTCCAGGTCAGTCTCAACTACATAGTGAGACCCTGTCTCAAAAAAAAAAAAAGAGCTGAAAAACCTTTGTTTCAGGCTGGGGTGAGGCTGACTCATGGAGCACTTGCCTAGCACAGCACAATATCCTGGGATCGATCCCCAGCACCACAAAGGATGAAGGAATGGATGAAATTCTTCCTTCCCTATTGCCCTGGCAGACCCTGGTAAGGTGTACTACAAAGAGCAAGTCTAAGGCCTGGCTATTCTATTTACAAATTGTGGGAGGCACAAACAAATCCTCGTTCAAGCCTCAGTTTCCTCAGCTATAAACTCAGGATACAAGCATCTGTCGCTGCCTTAGCAGGCTGCTTTGAGGATCCAATCAAACAATAACTATAGGAAAGCCCACTAAAAGAACATTCCACAGATGCAGGGTTACTCTGACGTAACGTATCGGTGGCAACAACTGCAGATCAGTGAAAGGCAGAGAACCACTCACTTGGCAGGGGGCAGGGACAGCATCTTGTGCATGGTGGAGGTCATTCGATCTCTGCCAAGACTGAAGGCGTCCTTAGTCAGGGACACGGCTTCCTTGGTGAGGTCCATGGTGGCATGCAGAGCCTCCTTGGTGGCATCCTTGGTCAGGTGGATAGCACTTGATAACTCTCCCTCGATGTTCTTCAGGGGGATGGGCTCACCCTGTCCATCCACAACGGTGGCCCTGCCTGTGGGGGACTTCGACACAGCTGGTGAGCTGGAGGCCTGGGCTCTGCTCAGTCTCTTGGCCTGCAGGGACTCAACGGCCTCATGCCCCTTCCCTGCCATCCATTGTGCAGGGGGCCCGGGGTCCTGCAGGTCTCCATTGCTGTGCAGCCTCTCCTGGGACGCATCCAGATTTTCCATGCTGCTGTCCCCCAGGACCTTCTCAGGGCTTGCCGGGCCCTGCTCTGAGGATGCGTCAGACTTGGGTTCCCGCTCCTCTGAGGGAGACAGCTCAGAATCTATGAGGCTAGTGGTATCTGAACCTGCAGAGTCTGCATCACCAGCCGCAGGGGCAGGATGCATGAGCAGAGCCACCTCCGCGCTGGGGAAGAGGACACCGATGCAAGCTGTCCGGTCCTGCAGGGCAGACCCAGTCATGGCCTGCGTGTCCTTGGTCAGCTGCTCCTGAAGCCCCTGCAGCACGTCCTTCAGGCGGAGCAGGGCCAAGTACTGGTAGTGATCCAGCCTCACTCGAACATGGGCCGGGGAGTGCACGAGCACATGGACGTCAGCTGCGTCCTCCAGCCCCGGTGGAGGCCCTCTACTGTCTGCAGCAATGCTGCCTTCCATGAGGCCAGACAGGCTCTTCAGATCATGCTCCGTCTTTGACCTCTGACGGGACACAGACTCGGGAGCAAGGGCCTCAGATCGGACAGGACTTCCAAAGCTGGCTGACGGTTTCAGCCTCCCCTCCGAGGCCAAAAGGAGCCTCCAGGCCTGAGCTTGTTGCCAGCGGAGAGGCAGGCAGGCCCAAATGGACAGGGGGAAGGGGGCCACGAAATTCAAGGAGTGGCCTCTGAAGTTCTCTGTTCCCTCAAAGTCCAAGGAGACCTGGGAAAAGTGGATGGACCAGAGATCCTGGGAAGCCCTAGGCCTCTGGAGAGGGAGGGTGCTGGGCTGAGAGGAGCCAGAATCCATCTGAAAGGCATGGTGCAAAAAAAGCATGTGCAGAAGGCTAAAGCCACCTGGAACCTTGGGAAAGTGATCATAATTAGAATGAAAGAACTCAGCAGCAGCAAAACCCCGAAAGAGACTCTGGAGGTCAGGACAGCTACAATGTGGGGCATGACGAGTATTGGTGGCAATCATGCCAGATGCAGAGAAGACAAGGGCCTGGGGACGATGCAACTTCGCCTGCTCTTTCTTCTCCAGTGGGAAGCTCACCTTCAGAGAGAAAATGAAACACAACTCAGAATGGCCATCCGAGTATCTCAGCATGCCACCATTAACACACATGTGAGAAACCACTTGGGCTGGGAAACTGCTTTTCTGGCTTCCACCAAATGGACAAAGACAGAGAAGAACTGTAGCTTATAGCCCTGGGGGAAACGCAGCTGTGGCTACCAAGAGAGGACTAAAAACCACTCTTTCCCTACCTTCAACCGGAAGGCATCCAGCCGGATATCCAAGTGTTCATCTTTCTGCCTTGAATCTTCCAGCTTATAGATAGCTTTGAACTGCTCCAAGCTGCGGTATAAATCGAGGCAGAAGAGGTTTCCCCAGAGCAGGCTGACAGGATCCACAGTAAATATCAGATCATTTAACTGAATGTAGAGATTGGGACAGGGAACTAAAAAAGAGAAGAAAAAAATCATGGTAAAGCAGCAGCTGGACTCTTACCAGCTAATATTTATTTCATTATCAAGAGGGCAAAAGTGTACAAAACAACTTGAACTCCTAAAATCCCCAGCGACACAAGGCTACAAGGCTGCAAGGAGAAGAACGGGAACCAGACGGAGGGGTCCAGCCCGACGCTCACCCGGAAGCTCCTGGTTATCCGGGAAGTAATACTCGGTGAACTCCACGTGGATGGCAGATGCCTGAGCAGGCAGGCTGTGGAGCCCGCGGCTGCAGGAGAGGAGCGTGGATGGCTTCTTGCTGGGCTGTCCAGCCGTAGACACCTAAGCAAGCACAATTCACTGTCAGCCCTTGCAGCAGCCCCAGACCGGAAGGCAGCTTCCTCGAAAGACTGTGAGGCCTCAGAGGAGCAACGCCATCCTCCTGCCAAGTCTGTCACGAGAACAGTGCTTTTCACACATGTTCCAGGCGTCCCCACACCCGCCTCGCACCATCCTCGAGTTAGCAGGAGACTATACTAAAGCATTTGGAGGAAAACCGGGAGAATCCCCAAGTCCTTTTCTCAACAGCCACGGTCAGAAGAAACAAGCTGCAGCGCTACCCAGATATGAGGCAAACAGTCCCTGGACTCCACGGTCTGTGCACGTGGCTCCAGCTGCCTTCCAAGTGGGCTATCGCACCACCTTCCAACCAGGCCTCCCCACACCCTCACCTGGTGGATGTCCAGGTCATCCACGCGCACAACCATGCAGCTGGAGCGTAAGCGATTCCAGGCTGGAGGTCGGAAGGTGGCCTGCCGGCCCTGCAAAGAGGTTTTCTCAAGAGGGTTCTTTTGAGGACTGGAGAGAGAAGCTACATAAAAAGATGAAAGTGGGAAAGAGAATCAAGGTACTTTCAACCCTCATTAGCAATAGAATTTGGAAAGTAAAAATCTTAAGAGCAGAGGTACATGCCTATAATCCCAGCTACTCAGGAGGCTGAAGCAGGAGGATCTTAAATTCAAGGCCAGCCTAAGCAACTTAGTGAAACTCTCTCAAAAAAATAAAAAGGGCTAGAGATCTAAAACTCAATGGTAGAGCACTTGCTCAGCATGTTCAAGGCCCTGGATTCAATCTCAAGCACCTCAAAAGAAAAAAATCCTAAAATCATCAATGCTGTAAATAGAAAAGAACTTAACACTGGATGGAACTCAAAAATATTCTTAAGACCAAAGTAACTGCATACTGAATACGGATGATGACAACTTCTCTTTAACACCCCAGTCATTCCTAGGGACAGAGGACTCCATAAAGAAAACATCACTGATGTCGCTCCATGGGATACAAGCAGGTTAATTAGCTACTTCTTGTTGCTTTATCCCACTAGTTATTCAAAGATAAGTGGCCCGAGCCGGGCGTGGTGGCTCATACCTATAATCCCAGCACTCGGGAGGATGAGGCAGGAAGATCGCTGTGAGTTTGAGACCAGCATGGGCTACATAGTGAGTTCCAGGTCAGTCTCAACTACATAGTGAGACCCTGTCTCAAAAAAAAAAAAAAAAACCCCCAAAACAAACATACAAACAAAGATAAATGGCCCGAGCCGGGGATTTAGCTCGGTGGTGCCACGCCTGCCTTGTTAAGCACAAGGTCCTGAGTTCGATCACCAGTACCCCCAAAAAAGATAATCGGCAAGAGGCTGAGCAACAGGAGTGCTTAGGTGCTAGTGACCTACCTGCTTTTCTTCGGAAGGGAGCATCTACCCCGAGGTGCCAGGATGTTTTCAGCCCCATCTCTTCGTGCCACTTCTCCATTTTGCTCTGAAACTCCATTACCAGCTTCTGGGCCCACTGTCCTCTGGTCTCCATGGCCTCACAGTGCCGAGCCCAGTGTTTGCAGCTATCACCTGTGCAACAAAGAAACAGAATTTAACCCAGAGTCTTGAGCCAATATTCCAAATTTTCCTTCCTACATATATAGGCACACTGAAGAATCTGATCCTTCACCCCCAGTGCAGAATTCTCTGGGATAAGAAAAGATCAGCCCATACAGAGGCCCAGTTCTCCTGGACCCCACTGTGACCTTTCCCTGAGGCTCCTAAAGGCCAGCTGCTACTGCCACTTGACACGGGGCTGGAGAGGCTCCAGACCTTGGGGGTAAGGGCTGAGAGGAACAACTCAGGCACTACCTCCCCTCTCCACGCCCTCTCAGCCCCAGGACCCAGGCTTCCCAAAGACGTTCTGCTGAAGGGCCACTCCCAACCGCTCTCTGCACGCTCCTGCTGGGTGGTCAGGGATGAGCCCCGGATCTGCCCTCAATGTTCTGGGCCATTCGACGACCTAACCTGTCCAGTGGAATGGGTAGTAGTCAAACGCCATCCTGCGGAAGGTAAGCTGCATGGCACCACCCGTGAGTCTGTTTGCAGAGACACCTGTAGAAGAAAATACAGTGGACAGCACTGGCAGGAGCAGAGAAGCCCAACACTGAAGCGCTTACAAGTTCCCTGCTGCCAGCACTAAATCCCAGCCGGTAACAGTGCCGCTGAAAGGCCCTAAAGTGAGCTGACTTGCATGGCTGCAGCCTTCCTCTTTTGAGTTGCAACAGTCAGTGGACATACTCTAAAAGATCCACAGAAAGTATACTCCTGTCTCTAAATGGCTGCCAGATTTCCAGAAAAGCAAAAGAAACTGAAAAACTCATGATTCCGTAATTTTATTTCATTGTATTTATTTATTTATTTTCATTCTTAATGACCTCTCCCAGCAAGGAACCAGTTTAGACTTTTTTTTTCCTAATTGAGCCTTCCTCTATATTTGTTTGCATATATATGTATATTTACCTGTGCATTACACATCAAAAAGTGTGTATGTATTATATATGTGCGTATGTGTATATCTTCAAACCAGGGTTAAGAAACACTAAACAGATTTTAAGTTCAGTTAAATATTTCAAAGCAATTCATATTTAGCTTTGCAGACATGGTGGGGCTGTCTATAATCTCAACATTCAGGAAGGAGGATCTCTGTGAGTTTGAGGCCAGCCTAAATTTCACAGCAAGACCCTATCTCAAAAAAAAAAAAAAAAAAAAAAAAAAAAAAAAGTAGGGCCAGGGATTTAGCTCAGTGGTTCCAGCGCCTGCCTTCCAAGCTTGGATTTTTGGGACAGGGTCTCAGTATGTACCCCAAGTGAGCCTTCAACTTGTGATCTTCCTGCTTCAGCCTCTCAAGGGCTGAGATTACAGGCCTGGGCCACCACACCTGCCTTAACTTTTGCTGAATAGAAGAAAATAATTTAAAACTAGCTACTAGACACTCATTCAGATATTGTCAATCTTCTTCCCTTTGAGCAAATGACGAAATTAAGACAGGGTTGAATAACTTTTGTAGACTTAACATATTTTCATTTCGTTTCCAAAGGGTAGATTACAGAAATACCAAGAATCACACATAAACACATCAGCAAGCAGCCAATGGCAGCCAACAGGCACGCACAGGCCATCCTTGGGCGTATGACTTTGAGATCCAGTGATCCACTAAGAGAAAGCCCTCTGCCCACACCCACAGACATCCATTTGCCTCAGCTGCAGTGCTGATCTTGCAAGATCAACATTTGTTTAGAATGAAGGTCCTCCAAGCCGGGTGTGGTAGCACATCCTGAAATCCCAGCACTCTAGACAGCTAAGGTAAGAAGATCATGAGATCAAGCTCAAACTGGGGAACTTTGAAAGGCCTTGTCTCAAAATAAAAAATAAAAATCTCAGTGCAAAGGCCCTAGTTTCAATCCCCAGCATCTCTCTCTCTCTCTCACACACTCACACACACACACAATTAAGGTCTTCCAGTTCATTATCTCATTTAAGCCTAGTAACGACCTTCAAGGTAAATGAATAACAGATGATTTCACCCCAATTTCACAATGAGGAAACTCAGGTTAAGCAAAAGGTTAAGTTATTTCTCCAAGGCTTATAAAAAAATAAGCAAGCCAGGTGTGATAGCTCATGCCTGTAATCCCAGCACTGGGGAGGGAGGCAGGCGTAAAAAATAAGCAAGCCAGGTGTGATATCTCATGCCTGTAATCCCAGCACTGGGGAGGCTGAGGCAGGAGGATCACTGTGAGTTCAATACCAGCCTGGGCTACATAGTGAGTTCCAGGTCACTCTCAACTATATAGTAAGACCCTGTCTCAAAACAACCAAAAAAATAAATAAAATTTTAAAAATAAAAAAAAGTAAGCAAAGCAGTTGCCTTGTTCATTCTGAACAAATTGATAGGTGTATGTGATACCAACTGTTCTAAGTATGAGAAGAACAGGGCATTACTCCTTGCTTGGTAAGAGCACAGCCGAGCACAATATATATTTCAATTGATTAAAAAATCTAAAACTGGGCCGGGGATTTAGCTCAGTGGTTCTGCCACCTGCCTCACAAGTGTAAGAACCTGAGTTTGATCCCAGGTACAAAAAAAAAAAAATCTAAAACTTCTGTGGCTATGACCTTCAGAGCTCAGTGGTATAATATGTGCTTAGTATACCCAAGGCTCTAGGTTCAATCCTCAGCTAACAACAAAAAAAGCCCTTAACATTCCATGACTTCCTACAGCTGAATTTGTCTCCCTAAAATTTTATACCAATAGTTCTCAACCTTGGCCAAGCGTCAGTATTGCCTAAGGAGCTTGAGGAAGAAAAAAAATTTCAACATTGCTTGGACTCTACACTTGAAGATTTTGATTTAGCCAGGAAGGATGGTGCACACCTGTAACCCCAACACTCTAGGAGGCCCTATCTACATGTGAAAAAATAAAAATGGCTGGGGATATAGTTCAGTGTAAAGGCCCTCGGTTCCATCCCTAGTACTGAAATAAAAATATTCTGACTCAGTGGGGCGACCTCTGCACGGCACTGAGTGAAAGCCCTGCACTCCAAAGAGCAGAACCTCACACTAACAGAGCCACCCAGCTCAAAGGCGCCACCACATCTCCGGAAACAGCCCCGCCCGGGCCAGGCTGGGCCTCGCGGGGTACCTGGCTCCTGAGACTGGCTGTCGTCACAGATGTGCAGATCCAGGCGGGAGATGAGCAGGTGGTAGGAGGACTCCTTCACATCAAATTTCTCAAAGTACTGGCTGAGGCGGCTGCTGTTGCCGCTGCTGCTGCTGCCGCCCTGGCTGCCGCCAAAAGCCTGGGCCCAGGACTGCTGGGCACTGGGAGCAGGCGGAGTGACCTACATGTGACAGAGAAACAGGTGGTCTAGGCCCTGAGAGGCTCCTGCACAGGCTTCGAGTGTTCACCCCACCTGCTGGCCAGATGCCCCTTCTCCCTCCTCCTGCCCACCTGCCTGCCTGCCAGCTCACTCGGCTCTCGGGCTCCAGCTGCCCTCCAAGCTCATGCGCAAACACCTGCCCTGGGAAATCTTCCTGAACGCTCTTCAGCTGTTCGGAGAGGCCCCTCTGCACTCTCAGGCACAGCGCTTACCGCACCACGCACCAACAGCTTGTCTGTGGTTCAGCGTTCAGACAGTGAGGACCCCGAGGACAGGAACAAGATGCTTATTCCACTTTTCCTCCCCAGTGACCAGCACTACGCCGAACACATAGGAGGCACCCCATGAACAGAATAAATAAACCACACAGGGGCTCGCAAAGCCTGGGAGCATCCAGAAGTAACGGATCCCCCAGGTGCAAGTGAGGCCTGAGCCAGCATCGCCCCAGCCCCACCAGGTGCCCACTCATCTCCCACCTGCACGGGCTCGGGAGCCAGGCTCTTCCTCTGCTGGGCTGACTTCTCCATGGCCTCGCTCAGCGACTCCGCATACTTCATCATGGCCTTGAGCTGCGAGTCAGTGAGCACCCAGAGCAGGTCATCCAGCAGGAACGTCAGCTTGGAGGCCACCACATTGCAGTCTTTGGTCTGAGGGGTCCACAGAAACCAGGGCTTTGTCAGCTGGTATCACTGCAACTGCTCGAGTAACCATGGCCCAATCAGTTTCAGAGGTGGCTTTTCACTCTCCAGGATGTGAAAGGGAAGAATGGAGCACTGTGAAAAGCCTATTTCTTACAAAACTACTCTAACTGGCTTGATTAACAGTCAACTGTGAGGGGCCTTATCATTGGGTTAGTGTGGGTAAAAATTGTCATTTCCAAAATTAAGAGGCCGGGCATGGTGGCGCACGCCTGTAATCCCAGCACTCAGGAGGCTGAGGCAGAAGGATCACTGCAAGTTTGAGACCAGCCTGGGCTACATAGTGAGTTCCAGGTCAGTCTCAACTATACAGTGAGACCCTGTCTCAAAAAAAAATTTTTTTTTAAGAAAACAAGGAGAAGGAAATATTCTCACTGGTGAGTACTGAACAACCCTGAACTGCAGGTCTCTCCCTGCGGTGCCACCCCCGGGACCACTAATATTCCAAACAGTGAGGGAGTGCCAACTCCCAGACTGTCTAGAGAAAAACACAGACATTTTCATGAAGACAGAGACACTTACCCTTCTCTTGAGGGCTATTTGGATCCTGCCTTGGTTGGTAATGAGCCTTAATGGGGTAGTGACAGAGTCCTGGTCACCATTTTCTGTAGCATCTGCCTCAATTCGAAGTGTCTGCCAAGTTATTTCCTTAAATGTTAGAACCTGGAAGAAGAAAAGCTAAACTCAGTTAATTCTGTGAGTGAAATTGACCAAGAGGCAGGGATCAGAAGGCAAAAGACTGGCAAGAGGGTGTGTGTGTGTGTATGATCCAAAAACCAAGGAAAGGGAGCAACAGTAAGACGGGACACAAAGGAGTCTGGAGTCTGGGGTTCCTGGGAACGAGGAGCATCTGAGGAAATCTCCAAAGAAGAAAGATCCTTTAAGACTCTGTCCTACTTTGAATCCTCCCACTCCTTCCCGTCAAACATCAGGGCCAACCTCTCCTCGGCAGGGGTCAGTGATGCGGGTGAGGCGAAGGTCACTCTGCTGCCAGCTGGGGTTGACGCTGTAACCCTGGAGCTGCCACAGTTCAAAAGAAGCGTGGAAGGCCTTGGAGTGAATCTTGACGGTGATGGAACTGACCACGATGAACATCCCCTCCACCACCTTCTCGGCAAAGCCGTATTCACTGCAACAAAGGGAGCCGGAGGGTCAGGCCACAGAGGCTTCAGGCACAGCCTTTAACACACAGACTGAGGGCCAGGGACTTGGCTCCATGGCTCCGCCGCCTGCCTCGCAAGCACAAGGGTTCGATCCCCGGTACCAAAAGATAAAAACATGGTTACACACAGACTGAGTTACTGGGTCCTAGGCATGTGAGTCTCTCTCCACTCCCCCCTTGAGGCTTTCATTTTTTTAAATTCCTAAATATGGGCCGGGGATTTAGCTCAGTGGTTGGGTGGCCTGCTTTGCAAGCACAAGGACCTGAGTTCAATCCCCGGTACCAAAAAAAACTAAACTTAAATTCCTAAATATTTTTTAGTGATGATAAAGTACTGTCTTTAATGGGAATTTTTCTAACAATGGCATGAAAGAGAAAGAGTTGATCTGGAAACAGCCTCCCTGTTATTAGAAAGAATAAACTGGCAAATCTATTTACAGCACACAAATTACCTGAGTCAATACTCAGACATTACAGTGAGGGAGTGTGTAACTACAGAAAGAGTCACCAGCTTTCCAGAAACTCTTCAAAGACAGAATGCTCTGCCACAGGAGCAGAAGGGTGCAAGCAGGATGGCCAGGTGAGGAAGAGGCTCAACACTGCAAAATCTGCCCAAGGACACTGCCAGCACTTCCCAAAGAGCCAGGCATCCATGGGGAGAAGCCAGAACTGGCAAGAGGAGAGGAGCGAAGGACATCCTAACGCTCCCTCCAGATGTGGAAAACACACATTTGTGAAATGTAGGTGCAATCACTTCTCAATATAAGAAGCAAAACAGAAACCCGGAAATTTAACCTAAAAAAAAGGTCACACACATACATATATGTAATTTATTTTAAAATAATTAAAATAATAAAATAAAAAACAGTCCAAAAAAATGTACACAGAGGATCGAACTCAGGTCCTTGTGCTTGAGAGGCAGCAAGGCAGGCAGTGGAACCACTAAGCTAAATCCCCAGCCTGGCAAATAGATATTAAACATAAAATGATGCTTAATCCCAGCAGTTGGGAGGCTGAGGCAGGAGGACTGCAGTGAGTTCAAGGCCAGCCTGAACTTCACAGCCAGACCCTGTTTCGATAGACAGACAGACAGACCTCCAGGTCCTTGTGCTTGAGAGGCAGCAAGGCAGGCAGTGGAACCACTAAGCTAAATCCCCAGCCTGGCAAATAGATATTAAACATAAAATGATGCTTAATCCCAGCAGTTGGGAGGCTGAGGCAGGAGGACTGCAGTGAGTTCAAGGCCAGCCTGAACTTCACAGCCAGACCCTGTTTCGATAGACAGACAGACAGACCTCATTCAAAATGATAATGATTGCCAGGGATTTAGCTCAGTGGTCCCATTCCCTTCCTTGCAGGTCCAAGGTCCCGAGTTCAAGCCTCAGTACACACACAAAAAATGATACCAAATCAACTGATTTGTGACAAAGGTGACTGATTATGCAATGGGGAAAAGAGATCTTTTCAGGAAGTGGTACATGATCAGCTTAGAGATACCTATAAAGAGAAAAATTGTATTTCCCTACTTTACATCCAATTTTAAAACTTAGTTTCAAAACAGATTGGAAATTTAAATGTAAAAAGTCAATGATGCTTTTAGAAGAAAACATCTTCATGCCTTAAGATGGGAGGGGAGCTCCCTCGGCAAAACATAGAAAGTGCTAACCGTAAAGGGAAAAAAAAGATATAATGGACTACATTAGAATTAATAATTTCTGTTCAACAACAACAAAAAACAGTCATAGGAAAGTCTGGGGCTATAGCTCACAGGTACTGTGTGCGTAACATTCACGAGGCCCTGAATTCAATCCCCAGAACTAAAAAAAAGAAACGTAAGGCTTCAGGTGCAGCTCAGGGGCAGAGCACGTGCCTTCCGTACACAAGGCCTTGGGTTTAATCTCCAAAACCAAATAAACAAAAAGTAATAGGAAACTCAGAATAAAAGATATCTGCATTACATGTATCTAACCAGGGATTTATTTCTAGAATAGATAAAGAATTTCTAGGGGTTGGGGATTTATTTAGCTCAGTGGTTCCACTGCCCACCTTGTAAGGGCAAGGACCCAAGTTTGATCCCTGGTACCAAAAAAAAAGCCAAACCAAACCAAAAAAAAACAAGAACTTCTAAAAGATTAATAAGAAAAGGACAACCCCAAATAAATGGGCAAAACACATAGGTGCTTTGTGAGAAAACATCCAAAATTCCAATAAACCCACCAATATAAAGATGCAAATTAAAACCACAGTGTGATCCAAGTACGCAGCCACCAGAATTGTTAAAATAAAGACAGACAACACCAGGTGTCAGCAAGGACATGGAGAGACTGGCACTTTTATGCCCCGCCAGGGGGGAAGGCAGAAGAACCAGTATAGAAGATGCCTAGCACTGTGCCAACAGGGAGCCTGGGCACAGCCAGCAATCCCACACCTCCGCTGCAGGTTGGTGTGGAAGAGAAGAGTGCATCAGTGGACGCCGAGAGATGTGGTACTACAAGTTCTCTGAGGCACCGTTCTTTTTCTTGTATAGTATATTTTCAGTTTACACACTGAACATTTGATTGTTTGTGTTGCGTGGGCCTACAGGTTTACACAAATGCATACAGGCGTGTGTTGGCTACCAGTCATCAGAGAAAACCATTCCTTACCATAACACTGTACTACACAGCCAAAAACTAGAAATCTACGACAGAACGGATCAAATATTACTCAGCCATAAAAGAGAATAAAGTACTGCTTGCTGCATGAGACACCATGGTTAAACTCTGAACATGTTTAACTGAAAGGAGCCCATCCCACAAGACCACACAGTACATGGTTCCACTTATACCCTATGTGCAGAACTGCCGGAGAAAGCTGACGCATGGTTGTGTGGGGCTAAGGCAGGGGAAATGTGGAGGGACTGCTAAGAGGAGGAGCGTTTCTTCTCGGATGATGAAGATGTTCTATAAGTGGGTAACGGGCCAGGGATTTAGCTCAGTGGTTCTGTTCCTGCCTCGCAAACACAAAGACCTGAGTTCGATCCCTGGTACCAAAAAAAAATTTTTTTTTAATTTAAGTTTGACTTTCTTAAAAAGTTCAATCCTCCCATCCCAAGCCACCCTACCATTCTGTTACCAGGTATTTACCCAACAGCAGTAGCAGCACACAACCAGACCAAAAGTCCTGTGTAAAAGCTCAGCTGCAGTATTCACGCCAGACAAAAGGGAAATAAAACGAACAAGTGAATGATAAGTAAGCTGTGATATGTTCGTTCATACAACTGAGCGTAACTCAGTGCTCTGGTCTAAATCTCTGTGCTCCTCCAAACCTCACAGGCTGAAATCTAGTGCTGACTGTGATGGTTTGAGGGATGCGGCCTTGGGAAGCGAGTGGGGCAAAGGCCTCGTGCACAGGATCGGTGCCTTGATAAAAGAGGCCCAGGGGAATCTCTTACCTCTTACAAGAATTCTTACCACTAAAAAATAATTTCACCAGGTCAAGCCTTTAAAACAAACTACCAGCCAGGTGTGGTGGTGCACACCTAGAATCCCAGCACTTGGGAGGCTGAGGCAGAAGGACTGCATGGAGTTCGAGGCCAGCCTGAACTACACAGCAAGACTCTGTCTCTAAAAACAAAACAACAACAAAATAAAAACCCAAAAGAAAAAAGTTCTTTTCCGCAAAGAATACATTGTATATTAACAAGTATGCGTGCTGCAGATTTAGCTCAGTGGTTCTGCCACCTGCCTCACAAGCGCAAGGTCCCAAGTTCAATCCCTGGTACCAAAAAAGTTACATGTGCATGTGTGCATTGCTTTTGGTGGGACGTATGTGTGTACTATTGAAAGTTCAGAGTATGTCTCAGTGGTAAAGCAGCCACCTCAGACTCACAAGACCTGGGTTCACTCCCTAGCACTGTACATAAAACAAAAACTGCATGTGTTGGGGGATACAGCAGAGCTTTCAAACACACATGACCTGACTGCAGGGGCAGTTCTTTTGATCCAGCTGCCCTGTGAAATATATTTTTTCCTTGCAGTGCTGGGAATGGAACCCAAGGCCTCACATATGCCAGTTAGGAAGCACTTTGTAATTAAACTACATCCTCGGCCCTAAAAAAAACAGTTAAGAGATAATGCAGGAAAACATATAAAATAGGATGAGGTGGTGTTATGGAATGCTTGTTAATTCCACTAAATGTGACAGCTTCTATTTGCCGTGTCAGCCCTTGCACAAAACGATGCAAAGCAGTAGTACTGACAGGGGGAGCCGGCGGCATCTGGGGTTTGCTTCCGGGTACTACCGTGTACAGCACACAGAGTGGCAGAACGACATGAAAAACAGCGGCAAAACATCAAAGATTGCTGGTGAGGTCTTGGGTGTGTGGGGTTCATTACACTATTTTCTCTGTGTTCCGAATTCTGCGTGACATTTTTTTTAATTCAATAGGTGACCTGGAGCAGGTAATGTGCTGGAATTACCAGGGCTCAAAGCAACCAACCTCTGTCCAGACGCGAGGGCGATGGGAGACTGTCCATTGGGGGGCCGCGGCTCCTCACAGGTCTGCATCTCTACTTCAACCTTATCCAGGCACTGGAAAAAAGCCAGGCAGAACTGAGCATCTGCACCAAAACTCACTCAGCAGTCAGCACAAACGCATGTTACTTGCGTGAGTGTGGTACTGGGGATTGAACCTAGAGCCTTCATTCCAAGCTACATCCCCAGGCCTTTTTCATTCCAGATGGGGTCCTGCCAAACCGCTAAAGTGCCCAGGCTGGGCTCAAACTTGCAACCCTGCTGCCTCAGCCTCCCAGAGTGCTGGGATTACAGGGGTGCAGCACCAGCTACAAACTAAACTTCTCTTACTAACAAAGTCCAAGTATAGAGTCTGGCAGCAAAAATTGATATAAAGTATAAAACACATCTCAGTTGGGCTGAGGATTTAGCTCAGTGTCAGTGTCATGAGTTCAATTCCCCCATACAAAAAAAAAAA